AACTCAAGACAAGCTTAACTGACAATGAGAATCATATAGTTGTCGGAGTCAAGATTAAGAGTTTGAAGAATCTAAATTGATTTATTTAAGGTTCATAAGTTAATATACATTTAAAAAAAATAATTTTCTAACTCAACATAGGATCTATACGAAAAAGCCAGTGAATTCGTCCGAACCCATAAATCCCTAACATTCCCAACTTACTAGGGATCGAGGCACAATTATTATAGTTGGTGCGTGTAAGAAAAAATACATTAACGAATAACCGAACCCCAACAACTCAAAGAAAGTTTATTTAAATTCTCAAATACCAGAAATTACAAACGCACATAAAAAAAAAAAATGTCAAACTTCACAAAGTGAAGCGAAACAATTCAAAACAAAATCAGGTAAAAATACATGCTCTTTTTTCTTAATTAGTCCCAACACTTCTCTAGCATACGCACTAAAATCCCACAAGTAGAAATTGGAGAGAATAGAGTGTACGCAGATGTTAACATCCATCGGGAACCTTAATTTTACATTGCTTAGGCAGATTCATTGCAGCTTCAGGACTGATTCCAAATTTCCCCAACTCAGATTTCTGGTTGCACATACACTGTAAATCAGCCTTGCGTAGCACTGCGCAACAATCCGGCGTCGGTTTCGGAGGTCTCTTCCCCATTACTGCAGGTAAACATAGCATAAGGTCATTGATTGTGACCTTGCAAATAACTTCTGGTGTTTCTGCAGCATTTATTGTTGCAATTTGTACTGTGATAATCAGTGCAAAAAGCAAAAAAATCATTGTACTATATGATTTAGCCATTTTGATGATGAATTGGTGAAGTGAGAAGGAATTGTTTGTTGTTATATAAGCAAAAAGGGATGGAAAGTGACAAGATTTGGATTTTGTTTATTTAAACTGTAACACTTGTGAACTTAGCATGTGAGTTTTAGGTTCACGGACTTTTGATCTTCTACAAAAACAAATCTTTGGTTATTTAATAATGCAATGTATGTACTATGTAGCACTAAAGTTAAGTGTGAGAATAAATTGAATAGTTCATTTAATCTCAGTCGTTCGCGTGTCCTGTTATAAGGGCATATTTAACCCGAAAGTATAACGAAGGAGTATATTTAGCCCAAAAGTATAACTAGGAGTATAACTAAGCTATTTCATATAGCACAGGGGTATATTTGACTCTTTGCCATATATATTTTCCTTCATATTTTTAGAATACAAGCCTTTTCTTATATCACACTAATAAAATATAGAAAGCGAAGTTTTCAATAAAGGTAAGTTGTAACTCAAAAAAACTAAGGAGGGTTGCAACTTTAAATCACGTCCTATAAATTTCAACTTTAAATCACATCCTATAAAAACTAAGGAGGTTGCAACTGTCAAAACTTTAAAATAGGATGTTCAAGCTACATTGAAAGCTTGAGACTCATCCATGGCTGCTTCTCTTCTGATATTACATCAAGGATGAAGAAGAGAGAAAGAGGAACTGTAAAGCATTGTTTGTGAGGATCTGAAAAAGTGATTCATATCTTTTTGTATGTGTACATTTATAATAGATGATATGGAAAATATCTAACAAACTACAGCTGTCAATTAACTAACTAAGTAACCAACTTAATCAATAAGTAAGCTAATCTAACTGTAAAGGAGTAAAAATGTAATATATGTATATACATTATTTCAATACCCCCCCTCAAGTTGGAAGGGGTGTAAGAACTGCCAACTTGTCAAGAACAGCTGCATGCTTAACACCAGTGAGAGCTTTGGTCAGGACATCTGCAAGTTGATCAGAAGTAGGAGTGTGATGTAAAGAAATGAGACCTTCATTCAACTGATTTCTCACAAAATGGCAATCTACTTCGATATGCTTGGTTCGTTCATGGAAAACTGGATTCTTTGCAATATGTAAAGCTGACTGGCTATCACAATAGACAGCAATAGGAGTGGAAAAAGGGACAGTAAGTTCCTTGAGAAGTCTGTCCAACCATACCAATTCACCAACAACCTTCCGGATGGCCCCATATTCAGCCTCAGCTGAAGATAAGGAGACAGTCTCCTGTTTCTTAGATTTCCAGCTAATGGGGCAATTTCCAAGAAGAACCAAGTAACCACTAACAGACCTCCTAGAATCAGGACATGAAGCCCAATCAGAGTCGCAAAAAGCTCTGATGGTATAGGAGGGATCATTAGACATGAAGAGGCCCAAAGTAGGATCATTTTTTAGATACCTTAATAGATGAAAAACAGCTTTCAGATGTGGTTCTCTTGGAGCTTGCATAAATTGACTAAGATGTTGGACACTATAAGCAGTGAATCGGTCCTTAAGGAACCCCCGAAAGGGCTCCCATCCCCTAGCGAGTGAAGTGCTTACGCCCCCCCCCCTTTTTTTTGTTTTGGCACTAGTGTTGTGTTAGTGAGAAAATTCAACTTGCCAATCAGTTTCCTATAATAGGTAGGATCTGGTAACAAAATCCCTTCTTTAGCCTGTAGCTTCACATTAGGATCAAGTGGTGAAGTAAAACTGCTGTAAGTAATGCAGTCATACTCTTTGAGTAACTCAAGAACAAACTTTCTTTGAGAAATGAGTATACCATCAGTCTTGTATAATATTTCCAACCCCAAGAAGTAATGCAATTTACCTAGATCTTTGATCTTGAAGCTGTCATGTAAAAATGCCTTGAGCTGTTAGATTTCAACTAAATCAGTTCCAGTAAGAAGAACATCATCAACATACACTGCTACGAAGATAACAGAATGATCTGTCTTTTTATAGAAAAGAGAATAATCATTCAAGGAGTGTTGATATCCCCTGGAATATAGAGCCTGAGCTAGCTTGTCATACCATTGTCTGCTGGCCTGTTTCAGACCATACAATGACTTTCTCAACTTGCAGACCATGCTAGAGTCACTGAGAACCAGACCTGGTGGAGGTTGCATGTAGACCTCTTCATGAAGATCTCCATGAAGGAAAGCATTATTAACATCTAATTGGTAAATGTCCCAGCCTTTTTTAGCTGCAGCGGCAATCAAGGTTCTCACAGTTGCCATTTTAATGACAGGAGAAAAAGTTTCAGTATAATCAATACCAAATTGCTGAGTATATCCCTTCACCACCAGCCTGGCTTTGAACCTTTCAATGCTACCATCTGCTTTATGTTTCACTTTGTACACCCACTTACATCCAATAGCTTGTTTAAGTGGTGGTAGAGGAACTAGATCCCAAGTGTGATTGTCATGTAGAGCATTAAACTCTTGAGTCATTGCCTTTTGCCAGGCAGGATTGATAGCAGCCTCTTCATAAGAAGAAGGCTCATTGTCATGACAAACACTCTCAACAAGATTCTGACTATGATGGCTCAATGATTCAAGTGCAACATGTTGGTTTAAAGAAAACAAAGCATTGAGGGATTGAGATGCAGGTTTCAAGGGATGTACATAGTCATTAAGGTGGACAGGAATCTTAGATGTCCTGGTAGACTTTCTCTTTTCAGGAGCATGTTTGGTAAATGATGGTGTGGAATCAGCAAGTATAGGTTCAGGAGGATTTGTTGGCAAACAACTAGGACTAACAATTGGAATAGTATTGTGTGGTGATATAGGAGACATCTGAATGGTAGTATTGGGATGACAACTTGTATTACTTGACACACAGTGCATATGCTCCTCATCACAATCATTATCAGAAAAAATAACATCAGGAATATTTTTGCACGAATCAGTAAAAGAAGGCAATTTAAAAGGAAATATGCTCTCATGAAAAACAACATCTCTAGATATATGTATCTTCTTAGTAGCTAGACTTAGGACCTTGTATCCCTTGGTTCCAAAAGGATATCCAACAAACACATGAGGAGTAGTGTTAGGATCAAATTTGTGGTTGAGACTTTTTGGAGTAGTGGGGTAACATAGGCAACCAAATACTTTCATGTGGGAATATTCTGGTTTTCTTTTCTGTAAGAGTTCAAAAGGGCATTTTGTTTTGAAGTGAGTTGTGGGGAGTCTATTTATTATATAGTTTGCTGTGAGTAGACATTCTCCCCAATATTTAATTGGAAGTTGAGATTGGAACAAGAGTGCTCTGGCAGTCTCCAACAGATATTTGTGTTTTCTTTCAACAACACCATTTTGTTGTGGTGTGTATGGGCAACTCTTTTGGTGGATAATGCCTTTGGACTGAAAAAACTGATTGGCTTCTGTGTTTGTAAATTCCAGACCATTGTCTGATCTAATAATCTTGATGGGAGTATTGAATTGGTTTTCAACAAAGATGACAAATGCTTTAATGACTTGCAGGGCATTACTTTTGCATGATAACATGTGTGTCCAAGTGCATTTACTATAATCATCCACCATGATAAGGAAGTATTTATACTTATCATGTGTTGCTACATGATATGGACCCCATAAATCAATGTGAAGTAGTTCAAACATGTGCTTGGTAAAAGTGGTTTTTTCAGGAAAGGGTATTCTTGTTTGTCTAGCCATAGGACAAATGTTGCACAAAAAAGGTTGTTTTGAAGAGAAATGAGCAGGTATTGATGAGATATCCTTCATTTTGCCAAAAGGAACATGTCCAAGTCTATTATGCCACATCAAATCTACATCATCTTTATAGAATGCAGAAAACACAGGAACAAATTTTGTCTTATTGATACTCACAGTAGAGAATGAGGAATTACAATGTTTTTCATTGCAAGGCAAACTAGAGACACTAAACTGCTTCTTTCCAGAACTAGTATTCATGACATTAGTAAAACAGACTGAATTTTTCAAGCAATGAGAGCACAAGAGATAAAGGCCATCTTCCACTTCACCAATTTCCAGAGGCCTCTTCATTGAAGGGGCCTGCAGAAGACATATTTTCTCAGTAAAAGAAATGATGCTTTTATGATTTAAAGTCAAACAATGTACAGAGATTAGATTGTACTTGAAAGAAGGAGCATATAAAACTTTGTGTAGAGTAATTTCAGGTGTCAAATGAACACTACCAATTTCAGTTACTTTGACTTTATAACCATTTGGAAGATTAATTAGAACAGGATATGGTAATTGTTTAATATTGGTCAGATGAGGTCTATGGAAGGTCATGTGATTAGATGCACCTGAATCTATGATCCATATGTCTTTTCTTGCTTTTGAACAGTTACATGACAATTTACCAAATTCAATAGAAGAGATTCTGTTAGAACATGCTACAATACCTACAAAGTTTACAGATCCATTGGCAATGTTGTTATCTGGTGATTCTCCCATGTTTGTGGGATGAAAATGTTATACAAGGTTCACCAATTGTTCATACTGATCCTTAGAAATGCTCAGTTGTAGCTGGTCTTTAGAAGTGTTTAGCTGTGGTTTTTCCTTTCTCATATCATCATCTCCAGTAGACAGCATGTTTGCAGAAGGTCCTTGAGCATGTACTACTTTCTTACTTTTCCAATCAGAGTTGTTGTTATTCCTTTGGTTCCTTTCATTCTGATAGTTCTGATTGTTTTGGGGGTAACCATGAAGCTTGTAGCACTTTTCTTTGATGTGGCCTGCTTTCTTACAGAAATCACATACAACTCTGTTTCTGTGAGAAGATTGACCAGCCTGTGGTGAATAATTTGTTCTAAAACCACCTCCACCATCATAATTTGATTTAGAACCAGTATCATTATTTGCATTATATCCCCTAAATCTTGAAACGCCAGCATTAAGAGATGTGGAGGCAATGCTTAACTGATTGCCAGGTTTAATTTCTCTTTGTCTTTCATCTTGGACAAGCAGTGAAAAAGCTTGTGTCAAGGAGGGTAATGGATTCATCATCAAAATACTGCCTCGTACTGCAGTATATGCTTCATTTAACCCCATTAAAAATTGTATAAGTCTCCTGTCCTGTTCTGCTTTGTGTACACTCTCCTTTGCACCACAACTACAAGTACAATTACACTGTGTTTTCACATTTAAACTACTCAACTCTTCCCACAATTTCTTCATTTTTGTATAGTAACCAGTAATATCAGAAACTCCCTGTGACATATCATTGATTTCCTTTTGAATTTGATATAGCTTCACACCATTGGTTTGATCATATCTATCTTCCAACTCCCTCCAGAGTTCAGCTGCATCATTCACATATTCAACACTATCAGCAATCTCCTTGCCTAAAGAGTTCAAAATCCAGGATGTGACCATATTGTCACACCTTTCCCATAGACGAAAATTTGGGGAACTGCTGGCTGGTTTTTCACACTCGCCATTAATAAATCCAAGTTTGTTCTTTACTGATAACGAACGCAGTACACCTCTTCTCCAAGATCTGTAACCAACTCCATCAAACAGATTTGATACAAGCATTGCACCCGGATTATCAGATGGATGCATGTATAATGGACTGGATGAATCAATTCGAGGAATGTTGGTAGTAGTAACATTGGAATTGGTATTGATAGTCATCATCAACAGTTATCAATTCGTAAACAGTTGGATGAACAAAAACAACAACAAAAAAACAGAAGATTATGAAGTTTTGAGATTTTTCAATCGAGATGAAGAAACTCACATAATCTGCAGATCGACAATACACGAAGGATTTGATTACGAAGAAACATCAACCTCGCTCTGATACCATGTCAAAACTTTAAAATAGGATGTTCAAGCTACATTGAAGCTTGAGACTCATCCATGGCTGCTTCTCTTCTGATATTACATCAAGGATGAAGAAGAGAGAAAGAGGAACTGTAAACCATTGTTTGTGAGGATCTGAAAAAGTGATTCATATCTTTTTGTATGTGTACATTTGTAATAGATGATATGAAAAATATCTAACAAACTATCTAACAAACTACAGCTGTCAATTAACTAACTAAGTAACCAACTTAATCAGTAAGTAAGCTAATCTAACTGTAAAGGAGTAAAAATGTAATATATGTATATACATTATTTCAATAGCAACAATAAATTTCAACTCTCTAAAACCTCTACATAGCAAAAATAACTGATGAATCAATCATCTACAAGAGGTCTCTTGATCCAAGTGGAACCAAAACGACTGATAAATTATCGGTGCTGCCATCTAAATATGCTTTCTCAATGAGTTGGTGAGCCATTAATGATGGATCTGAATCGTCCTCTATTTCATTTAGAAAATCACACACTGCCTGGGAGTTAGTGAGTTACACTTTCAAATATTCCATCAGATGCAACCACCAAAAACTCATCTTTTGAAGTTAAAGATAGCCAATCAGTAACTTCAGGATCAGCTATGATGACATATCTGAAAAATATAGCACAACAAATCCATCAATGTTATGATATTCACATGTTATATTCATCAAATACACAGGAACTGCAATGTTACCATTTTGGTAGCTTACCACAAGGATCGAAAGATGTACCGTTGTTACAGTTTTTCAATGTGAGTTATAATAGATTTCGTAGACAGATTTCTCAAGGTGTAGCACTGATGTTAACTCTTATTTGCATAACAAATGCCTTGGCGACTTTCCCTTGCCGGACTGTAAGTAGATATATAGGTCGAGGATTTGAATAGCTGAATGTTGTGGGAGAGCCATCGAGCTAGCCTCCTCTAGTTATTCCTAATCAATAACAAAAACAAAAAGTGCAATGTGTCTACAATGAAATATCGTCAATGACAAAAATAACAAGATAGACCCTTATGATTAACTCAACTCACAGCAATCCTTCTATAGACCGTTGAACTCGTTCAAGATACAATTTTTAAACCCCTTTATCACTATCACTTGCTTTGACGTGAATGACACATTTTATCCTGTCAGAAAAAATCCTCTTTACAACAATATTATCACAAATCTACGAAGGCAAAGGAAATTAAAAGATAAAGAGTTTCTAGTGGTGGCATCTAGACAAACTTTACCCAGGGAAGGTGTCATCTTAAATCAATCAAAATATATATTTTTCATCCTAAACTCACTTAAATAAAAAAGAATCTATTCTTACTTAAACACTTAACATTTTTAAAAACATTTTCATTTTAGTATCCTTTTATTTTATAATCAATTTAATTAAAATATCTATGAATATAAACATCATGATTAATAAATTGTAAAATCATTGGACATCTCTTTTGAAGTTTGAATTTCAAAAGCCAACGCATTATATTCTTAGATACTGATACACACCATGTGACTAGTGACTTGTGGGGCAGTTTTTCTTGACCAAAAATCCGTATTGCTAAAATATGACCCTTTTTTTTGTTTTATAAATACCAATGAGCTAAGTTATAATATAATATTGTTCATAAACAAAAAAAAAAAAGAAGAGAGAATATGAACTTGTCTCTTCTTCTTGTAGTTATTTTTCTTTGCTTTGCTTCTCCTTCACTATCAGTAAGATGCAATCCGAAAGACAAAAAAGTCCTTCTACAAATAAAGAAAGACTTAGGCAATCCTTACCATTTAGCTTCATGGGATCCAAACACAGATTGCTGTTACTGGTACGTCGTAAAATGTGACCGGAAAACCAACCGGATAAATGCTCTCACCGTCTTCCAAGCCAATATCTCCGGCCAAATTCCGGCAGCCGTCGGAGACCTTCCATATCTCGAAACATTGGAATTTCATCATGTTACTAATCTCACCGGAACAATTCCACCTGCAATTGCGAAGCTCACAAATCTCAAAATGTTAAGGCTCAGCTTCACTAACCTTACAGGTCCGATCCCTGAATTCCTTAGTCAGCTGAAGAATTTGACGTTGCTCGAGTTGAATTACAATCAATTTACCGGAACAATCCCTTCTTCCCTCTCTCAGCTTCCGAATTTGCTAGCGATGTACTTAGATCGTAACAAACTCACCGGAACAATACCGGAATCGTTTGGGAGATTTAAAGGACCAAATATACCAGATCTCTACCTTTCACACAACAGCTTGACCGGACATGTGCCGGCATCTTTAGGTGATTTGAATTTTTCCACGCTTGATTTCTCCAGGAATAAGCTTGAAGGAGATGTTTCGTTTTTGTTCGGGAAGAATAAGACGAGTCAGGTAATTGATTTATCGAGGAATTTATTGGAGTTTGATATTTCGAAATCGGAGTTTGCTGAGAGCTTGATATCATTGGATTTGAATCATAATCGAATTTTTGGTAGCTTACCACCAGGATTGAAAGATGTACCATTGCAGTTTTTCAATGTGAGTTATAATAGACTTTGTGGACAGATTCCACAAGGTGGAACGTTGCAGAGCTTTGATATTTACTCTTATTTGCATAACAAATGCCTTTGTGGCTCTCCCTTGCCGAAATGTAAGTAGGTATGGAGGTCGAGGATTTAAATAATCGAGAATTGTAGTAGAGGCAACTAGCCTTCTCTAGTCGTTCCTAATCATATTTAGTGCTCTTTTCGCTTTTTATAATCCGTATGCGAGGATCTAATGAATATAGTCTCTCTATCAATAAACTTATGAAATTTTACGAAGTAGGTTGTTGATCAATATTACTACCTTGATTCATGTCTTCATCTTTTTTTTTTTCTTTTCTCAAGTTGCAATATTTGAAAGCAAATTGAATTGGGCATGTAGTTACAAACTTTGAAGTTAGTTAGTCAATTTGAATCTTGCAATAGTCAAATGAGCTAAAGTCAAAAGTGTATTAAAAAATTTATAAAACAAGTGCATATAAACAGAGTTGAACCAAAGGCTAATAGATGGTGCAAATTGAGGTGCATTTCATTATGGTCGTGTTTTTTGTTTTCATTGGAGGAGTTCTCAACGCAAAGTCCGTGCTAAAGTTACTGAATTTTTCAATAGAAGTACAGAATCTGTGCTAAAATTATTGAGTCATACACTGTGGAACAGTTGCAAGATTAGATGAAGGAATTGGTTCTTCATTGAGAAATTATTTTCACAACTTACATTAATCTTTATCGATGTTAATAAACTCTAGAGCTCGAAAATAAGACCCAGTAATTCATATTAGAGTCACCGATCCTAACATTTGAACAATAACTAACATTGAATGCAACCTCTATAATTCTTGGAAAGTCTGATTTAAATCATCTTTATTTGATTGTTGTGGTTGAATCTCTTGCACTCGTTCAGAATGTGGAAAAAGTTGTGCACGACTTATGTGCTTGAATGACAAACAACCAATTTAGATATTTACGATAAAAAAGATATACAATAATATGTTATCACGAAGAATGTCATTTCAAAACAATGTTATGCAATTACAACTTTGTGTCATTAAATTTGTGATCGATATAATTGAGAAAACATTCCAAATGAAGTGGGGACACAAGTTTTGTTGTTTGGGCTTAACATTAAACGTTGATTAGTAACATTTTTTACAAATAAGTTATGGCCCATTCAACTTAATCGAGGTTTCAGTGCTACCAGTACCATAGTTCCATTTACGTCGAAATAATCTTGTGTGATTACTTATAGATTGAATTGAAATAGCCTTTTAATATCTTGTTCATATATAAAAAAGACATTTTATAAAATGACAACATAGATAAATCTCTCCTAATTAACAACATTGAAGCACATAAATAAAACTTACACAGTCGATTTTTCATCAATTTTATCTTTTTTTCTTTTTTGATAACACATGTCGATTTACTTTTACAAATATGAAGGATCATTTTTGTCACTGTATATGAAAGATGAAAATACATTATTTAAAAGTTAAAATCAAATGCCAAGTTGTCCATTTATTACCTATAGTTATTGTGTACTAGTGTTGGGCCAATTTCTGTCGGCCCATTAAAGAAAAAGAAAAATTTAGTACGAAAATTGTCATAAACAGTGGCGGATCTAGGAATTTCAGGTTGTGGGTGTTCTAAATTAAAAATATAAAAAATATGTGTTAACAGTAAGATTCAAACCTTGGCACAACAACACTAAAAAATTCTTAAGCACCCATCCAGGAGTCATTGGGTCAACTAAATCACTTATTCATTGAGTGCTCTATGTTAATTTTATACAAATATCTATCAATTTCTACATAGATACATATATTCCGTAACGAAGTTAATGGGTGCTCGAGCACCCCGCGAACACCATGTGGGTCCGCCTCTGATCATAAAGTATTTAATGTGATTTAATTTTTTCTAGAGTAATTAACTCTATTACGTATAGAAAAATAACAATCAACAAATTTATCTTTCGTTTGAGAAATATAGCTCCTTAGCGCATATATTTAGAGATTCTCTGGTTTGATAATATATTAGAATAAAAAGAATTAGAAATTAGAAGGAAAAAAATAAACTCTGTAATAGTTAATAGAATTAATTGGGATATTGTAATTTATTGTTATTTTTAGGAATGAATTGTAATAATTTCATTTTTCTACGCACACCACCTACCCCACCCTAAATAGCATGTGATAAATATTTACTTCTAACCTATGTGCCAATATTTGATGGACCAATAAATTATAAAAGTGTAATAAATGGTAATAAATCATTTAAAGGTTATGATTGATATGAATGAAAAATAATAATTTGTTTTTCTTTTTTTAATAATTAATTATATTTCTTATTTGGTAGTTAATATATAATATTATATTAAAAATATTTGCGTAATTTAAATAAATATTATTGAGATAAAATATTTTGAGTCAATTGAATCCAAAAATTGAAATAAAAAGATAGTCAAGTGTTAGAGTAAAATGTTAGTAGAGTAGTAGAACATTGCTTAGCTTTCCTTATAACTAATTTTTTCGTATTAAAATTTTCAACCTTTTAGTACATGTTATTTTATTTACTTTGATTATCATATTTTTTTTGCTATTAGAGGAAATTAGTCACTAAAATAATTTGATTAGGCTTTATAATTATAGTTTGTTAATTATGATTCGTAATTTCATGTTAAAGAGGAAAAAGTGAGTGAGATTGGGAGAGGAAGGAGAGAGGCGAGTGAACTAGGGAGAACGATGAGAAAGGCAAGCACGAGAGGGTAGAGAGTGAGAGAGGGGAATTGTATTTTTGTATATTTGTTGAATTATATATGTATATCTGTCAAATAATTGCATATATATAACTATTATACATATATATATATATATTTATATATATGACGAGCAAGATTGTTAGAGGAAGAAAAAAGGTGAGCGAGATGAGGAGAGGAAGGAAAAAGGCGAGTGAGAGAAGCGAATTATATTAGTATATATGTTATATAATTGTATATGCATATGCATCATTTATATTTGTAAAAGTAAAGAGAGGCGAGAGATGAAGAGACGAGACGAGAATTGTGCACCTAATTATAACTAAAAAGAGGCTACACGTGGTAATTAATTCAAACTATAGATATATCTACTAATTAATTAATATGTATTTCTTTACTCACGTAATTTTCGATCTTATTATCATTTTTTCTTTCTCTATTCTTTTGTATTCCGTCCGTTTAAAAAAAAATGTCTCTATTCATTTTTAGTTTGTTTAAAAAAGAAAGTTCTTTTTTTTACAACACTTTAACTTTAATTTTCCACGTGACATGTTTAAGACCACAAGATTAAAGGATACTTTGATACATTTGAAATAACTTTAATTTTGAACCACAAGATTAAAAAATCTTTCTTCTTTTCTTAAATTTCGTTCCGAATCAAATTAAATTAATTTTTTTAAAACAAAGGGAGTATTTAACTTCTTCAATATTGTATTTTCTAATTTCACCGTCAACCACCAATAGAACTACGCAATACACTAATATTATCAGATTTCACTTATGAAATTATGCTTCGATCAAACGAAAAAAACAAATAATTGCAAAACGCCGGGATGATAGTGCTAGAGGTCGGTGGCCGATAGTCAAAGAACACGACAATTTCAATTTTTTTATTATTTTGTATTATTATAATAAATAAATTTTGTAATTAAATAATTGTGGCTCTTCTCTTTTTGTTTTTTATTTATTATTTCATTCTTTCTTTTTCACTTTTTTTTCCAATTTCCAACTTTAGAGGAGCCAACTCTTTGTAGTTGCCGTCCTCAACTTTATTGCTAAAAACTAGAGCTAGAATAACCTATATATAGTGCCTTTAATTTAGTCAATT